AAAATAAAATAAAATAAAAAAAGAAAAATAAATAAACTTCTGAAAAATACTTATTTGCATAGTGTTTTTATTGTCTCATAAGGAAGGAGTATAGAATAAATAGACAAAACCAAAAGAAAAAGTTAATGTGGATCCTGAATAAATGGGAACTAAAAATATCAAGCTTTATTGAAGCAAAGACCTGATTGTTAAAACTTTGCTAAGGTTTTAAATATAACCTGACGAGAGGGTTTTTAAAAAATTCACTTTCTATTTTTTTTTTTTTCTTTTTAAATCAGGGAACAATGACACCCACCTGGACAGAGCTGTGACCTGCCAATATGGTGCCATTTTATTTTGGAGAAAGTTGGCTAAAGAAAGTCTTGGGAGAATTTCACAGCAGAATTTGTAACAAAATAATATAAATAAGGGGCAATACCGAAAGTCTGTCCTGTCTTTCAGAAAAGCTGCATCTAGTTACTGTGAAAGGAGCTCTGGTTGCGCAATGGTTAAGTGCTCAGCTGCTAACCAGAAGGTTGGCAGTTGGAACCTACCAGCTGATCTTCGGGAGAAAGACCTGGTGATCTGCTCCTATAAAGATTACAGCCTAGGAAACCCTATGGGGCACTTCTACTCTGACACATTGGTTTGCTATGAGTTGGAATTGACTTGATGACACCTAACAACCACAACATTTAATACCAGAGCTGGTTACTATGACACTGTGGCCTAGTAAACGCCCCCACACCAGTGAGAGCAGTGAGCCTCAGGCATCCCATGACCTCCTGATGCTCCCTCACTCCTCTATCCATTAATTCTGGAAACAGTTACTGGATATCCACTCTGTGCCGAGCACCGTGCTAGATACCTGGGTACAAAGTGAAGAAACACAACTCCCACCCTGAAAGGGCAAACCGGAAAGAGCAACTCATCTGTTGGGGAGTCAGAGAGGTAAACAGGCAATTTCAAAACAGGTTGAGAAGTATTCCCATGAGGGGAGTTAGGAGGTTATGAGGCAACCCACCCATGCATGAAGAGGTCAGGGAAGGTTTGCTGCAAGTGGAGGGAAGTTTAACAGACCCGAAGGAAAGCCGCATGTTCGAGGAAAATCAGAGAAAGGAGGAAGGAAGGCATCCAGGCAGAGAGAACTGCAAGTGCAAAGCCCTGACGCTAAGGAGAGCGCCGTACATGTAGTGAGTGAGTGCGGGGCTGAGAAAGGTCGGAGAGGGGAGACTGGGTGGTGGAAAGTGGTATGAGGACTCGTAAGGAGCAAATGTCTACACTAAATGTTCTCAGCAACATCAGCAACACCCGGGAACTTGTTGTTAGTTGTCATCAAGCTGATTCCAACTCATGGCAGCCCCGTGTGTGCAGAGTGGAACTGCACTCTTTAGGGTTTTTAAGGCTGTGATCTTTTGGAAGCAGTTCACCAGACCTTACTTCCAAGCTGTCTCTGGGTGGGTTTAAACTGCCAACCTTTGGGTTAGTAGTCCAGGGCTTAACCATTTGTACCTCAGAGGAACTTGTTAGAAGTGCAAATTCTCAGCCTCACTCCAGACCTACTGAATCAGAAACTCTGAGGTGGGGCCCAGCAGTCTATGTTTTAACAAGCCTCCCAGTTGATTCTGATTCATGCTATTTGAGAACCACTGGTCTAGCCCTCCAGGGAACATTCCACAATGTCTAGATATTCTTTTGGTTGTCACAACTGGGGAGGAAGAGTACCGCTGGCATCTAGAGGTCAGGGATACTGCTAAATATCCCACAACAAAATCCATATGTCAGTAGAGCAGCTGTTGAGGAATCCTGGTGTTCCCTTCATTCCTCTCTCCCTCCCTTCCTTGCATCCATCTATCTTCTCCACTCCTCTTTTTCCTCTACAGACAACACTCAAAAGAATACTTTTGTACGTTTTTGTTTACTCAGTTACAGATAAGCCTTTCCTTTTATCCTTTTAGTAACTCCCCATGACAAAGTTGACATACAGCTCAAGGAAGTATTAGAATTATTTCTGGCCAAAGAAGGCCACTCATCTCCCTAGGAGTGGGATGGTGCTACTCAAGTACAGGCAATAATAGCCCCTGTGCCTGAAGCTGTAGCTCTTGGCTATTCTCAGTTTGGCAGCAGTATATAGGAGCTGCCACATGAAGGCCCAGCAACCAGGAGTTCTGATTTTGGCATTATAGACAGTTTCCAGTGGGGATTGAGACTTGAAATATTTTGGCTTTTATGGGAAATAATAGGGGACAGCTCTTGAGTTGCTCCTCAAGAATATGGAAGTGAGCATGTCCTGTGAGAGTTCAACCACAAAGTCCATACAGAATGGGTTTAAGCAGAGTTATGCAAAGTCACGTTAAAGGAGATCCTAAACCCACCAGATGGAACTCTAACCTAACTGATAGCATTGACAAATCGAAAGAACTGTATTCATCAGAAGGTTTGTGAGGCAAAAGGAGCGAGAAAACTGTGAAGGCATAAAGAGAAACATTGGCAATGCCCATCTAACACTTCCCAGGGGATCAGGTACCCTGAAAGAGCAACATGAAAGTTTATTCTTCCAGATGGATCTATACTCCCATAGTGGTGGTAGATGCCTCAGGCTTTCAGAGTCTGAAGCCAATAACCAGCTCAGTTACCCAGCAACCTGGCTCTCCTTTCAGGTTATCACAGCAACCTTCTAACAATGGGCTTCCCTGGGGTTTGTCAAGAGGGAGAAAATACCCAGGTGAGGTGGATGTGATTACCAGGTCAGCTTGATGTTCATAATTCTCACTAAACATCAGTCAGTTGGTCTTTAAGTCTATAGTCCTTAGTTGCTTGTGAAGAAACCCTGGTGGTGCAATGCTGAAGTACTCGGCTGCTAACTGAAAGGTCGGCAGCTCAAACCCACCAGCAACCCCTTGGGAGAAAAGACCTGGTGATCCGCTTTGGTAAAGATTTCAGCCTAGAAAACCCTATGAGACAGTTCTGCTCTGTCCTATAGGGTCGCTAGGAGTCAGAATTGCCTCAACAGTACACAACAACAACAGTCTTCTGTGAATTTACTTATCAGCCTGAATTGGTAAAATCAACTCTGGGGCACTGACAACATGGAACTTCTGGACTTCTAAGGTAGCGGGAGGGACAGACCATGGACCACAGGGAATGCCTCCTGCAGTTTGCTTCTGGCATTCCCTGCTTGTCTGCCTTTGGTGATTCCTGGCCCTCACACTATGTTTTTTCTCCCAATTTCTACCTTCCCATGATGCTTAAAAAGCATTTGTGGCAGATTGAAAAGATGGCCACAATATTTTGCAACTCCTCCCAGCAAGAGGTGGAGTCTATTTCCTCAACCCCTGAATCTAGGCTGGCCGCGTGACTTGCTTTGGGCCAACTGTGGAGGAAGTAACCTTATGTGAGTTTTGAGCCTAGGCCTCAAGAGACTTTGAAGCTTCTGCCTTTGCTCTCTCAGAACCCTAAGGCCACTGTGTGTATAAGTCCCAGCTAGCCTGCTGAATGTTGAGAGACATATGGCCCACCCACACCAATCAGTCCACAAGACAGACAGCCAAACGCCAAAATCAGAGTCACCTTGCTCACATGCAGATGACCGCAAGAGCAGGAGGGAGTCCAAGTGAGATGAACAGAAGAACCACCCAGGTGCACACCACCCAATTTTCCAATGCACAGAATCATAAACTAAATAAAAGCTTGCTGTTTTAAGCTACTAAGTTTTGTAGTAATAGATAATTTATACAGCAACAATTGTGTTTTTAATAACTACTGCATATACCCTGATCTTATTTCCAAAGTTTTGTCTCTGAGAAGCCACGGGTTTTGCCTCTGAGATTTATTTTGGGCTATGTCATGAGCTTCAATGGTTCTAGCAGAAAAAAAAGGGTTGAGAAATGGAACAGAAAGTCTTGGGTTTGCCAGTGTTGACTTGAGTAGAAAAAGGGGGATTAAATACATGAAGAATTGCATTTTTCGGACATAGATAGGTTTCTGACCTTTAGCCGGCGGTCTGGGTCTCCACTGCATAGAGAATTTACCGATACTTTGAATGATTTCCAGGCTGGGCTTAAGTTATTCATCACCACCTGAAAAAAGAAGAGAAGAGTGGTGGGTGGGGGAGGAAATGCTTGACATTTTCACATTTCAACATAAAAACTGCTTGAGAAGTCATCGTGAAGCTTATAGAAAGAACAATTGTCTGGAGCAGGTGCCATGATGAAAAGCTAGAGTGGTGAATCTTTTAAGGGTGCTCACTAAGTGGGTCATTATGAGCAGAACTCCTGCCATCACTGGCCTGGGGGTTGTTTCATGAGTAAGAAAAGTAATATTATCTGGCCCATGGATGCTGAAAATGATCCCTTCTATATCAAAAGGAGCTGGAAATAAGAAGGTCAGGTGGCCTCTGGCCTTTGACAGAGGACCCCCAGTTCTGCAGGACCATCACTACGGCATAAATGCCCTTGACTGGATCAGCAGAGGTAAAGATTCCTCGTGGGGTGGAAAGCGGGGAGGGAGAAGGGATAAGGTAACAGTGAAATTCTACTGTTAAAGAATTGGAGGGTCTTTGTAATCTGTGACCTTGAGTCAGATCAGATTGCAAGTCAGAGGAGTTGCTTCTAGAAGAAAAACCCCAGAAAGCAAAAACCCACTAGCTCATCACCATCTCAATTAGAATATACTAGGATGGCACAACAGGGCAGATCTTCAGCATTACAAACTAAGTCTACAGTATAGTAAAACCCTTTTAAAAGCAACTTCTGAATCATGGATTTGGTTTAATCCTGCCCAAGAGTCCATACGAGTCAGATCTTATCTTGTCATTACTATGATTCAAATAATTTAATTTGGTTCAGAATGTATCAGTATCTGCTCTCAGCCTAGCATTGTGCTGTGTTCTTTAGGGTAGGGGTTTCCAAAGGGTGGCTTCTGGACCAACAGTTGCTGCATCACCTGGGAACCTGATAGAAAAGCAAATTCCTAGGCTCCACCCAGTCCTACTGACAGAAACTCTGGAGGTGGGCCCTCCAGGTGATTGTGATGCCTGCTAAACCTTTGAGAACCACTGGTCTAGGGGACATACAAATAAAGTTAAATGGAATCCTGTCATATTCATTTTCCTTCCTGTGAAGTTTTTACTTGGCAGAAGTCTTAGAATTGCCAAAAAAATTAACCCTCTGTCCAAATAAGTACGACATAATTATTTTATAAATGATTCTCTCTTCTACTAAATTCCTTAATGTAACTATGAATTATTGATTAGATCATGAGATTATTATTAAATTTCTTTTAATGCATTAAAATAGAAAAATAATGTTCCTGTGTAACTTAGCTTCATGTCCTGATACTATGGAGATCATCAAAGTGATGGTGAGAAGAAAAATTAGATAAGATTGTTTGGGTTAATTGTAATTTCTTATCCTTATATGAAAATCTAAGAGACAAAGATGTTTTATTGTAACAGTTTTGAAAAACTCAATAGCAGATTAAAAAATTGCAGCTAGAAAACTTCTCTGAAATTAATGTGTGTGTGTGTGTGTGTGTGTGTGTGTGTTTCCCCCAAGAGAACAGTATTTGCTTGGTATGTATTTTGTATATACTGAGTAAGCAAGAGGGGGGAACATCAGTGTTATGTTGTTTGACTCATTAGAAAATTTTACAGTCATGTTTCTTGTGAGACTCCAGGCACCCATCAGAATTGGGGTGTGGGGGGAGTTCTTGAGATTCTTGGGAACAGAAGAATATACCAATATCAATAATGAGAAGAGGAATGTTGAGTCGTAGGGAGCAAGGAGAGGAGAATGTTGTGAGAACAGAATATAGATATACCACCCACCTCCTGGTATATTGAATATAGATATACTACCCACCTCCAGCAGATATACCACCCAGCTCCTTTTCCACTGCACATTAAAGCCCCCATTCACTGACTGGAACAAAAGCATGAATGAATACTAATTCTAATTCTCCTCAACTTTTATTTACTTCTCCTGAAAGAAGTTTGTTCCACCAAAGGAATCTACTTGTGAAGGTGACTGTACTTGGTGCTGGTGGCAGAGTGCCACTCAGGGCAACTGTCCCAGCTGTACCTCAAAATACTCCCCAGGGATTAAGTTCCAGAGAATCAACACTGTACTGCAATGTGTAGTAGACATACTATGTATATTTAACTCCATTCATTTATTCATTCTTTTATTAAACACACTTTTTTAAATGCCTACTATGTGCCAGATGATATCCACACACCAGTCCATCAAAGACTATTTAATCCTTGTCTACTTTAAATAGAACATGAACAGTTCTCCTAAACACCACCTGCAACTCTGTTACTTCAGGAATATGGAATCAGAGTGCTGGTGCAGGGTAATGGGAACATGGTATCCCATTATCATCCTGTGAAAGCTAGGAGAATTTCTTCTTCCTTTACCCTGCCACTGGCTGTGAAAGCACAACAGGGTGTTCTCTCAGCAGCAAGTCAATCATTGTAATTATTCCACCTCTTCCTTATCAATGCATTCCCACCCACACAGAGTCCCTCTTGGAAATAAAATAAAAAGTGGAGATGGGGTTGGTTGTTGAGTGAGTTCCGACTCATAGCGACCTTGTGTACAACAGAATGAAACGCTGCCTCATCCTGCATCACTGTTGCAGCTACTGTGTTAATCCATCTCATTGAGGGTCTTCCTCTTCTTCACTGACCCTCTACTTTACCAAGCATGATATCCTTCTCCAGGGACTGATCCTTCCTGATAACATGTCCAAAGTATGTTAGACAAAGTCTCGCCATCCTTGCTTCTAATGAGCATTGTGGCTGTACTTCTTCCAAGACAGATTCGTTTGTTCTTCTGGTAGTCCATGGTATTTTCAATATTCTTTGCCAACACCATAATTCAAATGCATCAATTCTTCTTGGTTTTCTTTTGTTATTGTCCAGCTTTCACATGCATATGAGATGACTGAAAACACCACGGCTTGGGTCAGGCTCACCTTACCCCTTAAACTGATCTTTGTTTTTTAACACTTTAAAGAGATCTTTTTTTGCAGCAGATTTACCCAGTGCAATGCATCCTTTGATTTCTTTTCTTTTTCAACTGTACCTTAGATGAAGGTTTACAGAACAAACTAGTTTCTCACTGAACATTTAGTACACATATTGTTTTATGACATTGGTTAACAACCCCACAACATGTCAACACTCTCTCTTCTTGAACTTGGGTTCCCTATTACCAGCTGTCCTGTCCCCTCCTGCCTTCTAGTCCTTGTCCCTGGGCTGTTATGCCCCTTTAGTCTCATTTTGTTTTATGGGATCATTTGATATCTTGACTGCTCCTTCCATGGGTGTTGATTACATATCCAAGTAAAATGAAATCCTTGACAACTTCAATCTTTTCTCTGTTTATCATGATGTTGCTTATTGGTCCGGTTGTGAGAATTTTTGTTTTCTTTATGTTGAAGTACAATCCATACTTAAGGCTGTGGTCTTTGATCTTCATCAGTAAGTGCTTCAAGTCCTCTTCACCTTCAGCAAGAAAGGTTGTGTCATCTGCATATCTCAGGTTGTTAGTGAGTCTTCCTCCAATTCTGATGCCCTATTCTTCTTCACATAGTCCAGTTTTTTGGATTATTTGCTCAGCATACAGATTGAATATGTATGGTGAAAGGATACAACCCTGACACACGCCTTTCTTAACTTTAAACCACGCAGTTTCCCCTTGTTCTGTTCGAACGACTGCCTCTTGGTCTAAGTACAGGTTCCTCATGAGCACAATTAAGTATTCTGGAATTACTATTCCAGAACATCCACAATGTTATCCATAATTTGTTATGATCCACACATTTGAATGCCTTTGCATAGTCAATAAAACACAGGTAAACATCCTTCTGGTATTCTCTGCTTTCAACCATGATCCATCTGACATAAGCAATGATATACCTTGTTCCACAACCTCTTCTTAATCTGGCTTGAATTTCTGGCAGTTTCCTGTTGATGTACTGCTGCAACCGCTTTTGAATGATCTATAGCAAAATTTTACTTGCGTGTAATATTAATGATACTGTTCAATAATTTCTGCATTCTGTTGGATCAGCTTTCTTTGGAACGGGTATGAATATGTATCTCTACCAGTTGGTTGGTCAGGTGGCTGTCTTCCAAATTTCTTGGCGTAGGCGAGTGAGCACTTCCAGATCTGCATTTGTTTATCGAAATATCTCAATTGGTATTCGGTCAATTCCCGGAGCCTTGTTTTTTGCCAATGCCTTCAGTGCAGCTTGGACCTTTTCTTTCAGTACCATTGGTTCTTGATCATATGCTACCTCCTGAAATGGTTGAACGTTGACTAATTCTTTTTGGTACAGTGATGGTGTGTACTCCTTCCATCTTCTTTCAATGCTTCCTGCATCATTTAATAATTTCTCCATAGAATCCTTCAATACTGCAACATGAGGCTTGAATTTTTTCTTCAGTTCTTTCAACTTGAGAAATGCCAATCGTATTCTTTTCTTTTGGTTTTCTATCTCCAGGTCTTTGTACATGTCATTATAATATTTTACTTTGTCTTCTTGAGCCATCCTTTGAAATCTTCTGTTTAGCTCTTTTACTTCATCATTTCTTCCATTAGCTTTAGCTACTCTATGTTCAAGAGAAAGTTTCAAAGTCTCTTCTTGCATCTGTTTTGGTCTTTTCTTTCTCTCCTGTCTTTTTAATGACCTTTTACTTTCTTCATGTATTATGTCCTTGATGCCATTCCACAACCTGTCTGGTCTTTGGTCATTAGTGTTCAATGCATCAAATCTAGTCTTGAGATGGTCTCTAAATTCAGGTGGGATATATACTCAAGGTCGTACTTTGGCTCTTGTGGACCAGTAATTTTCTTCAACTTGAACTTGCATATGAGTAATTGATGATCTGTTCCACAGTTGGTCCCTGGCCTTGTTCTGACTGACAATATGAGCTTTTTCATCGTCTCTTTCCACAGATGTAGTCAATTTGATTTCTGTGTTTTCCATCCAGTGAGGTCCTTGTGTATAGTGGCCGTTTATGTTGGTGAGAAAAGGTATTTGCAAGGAAGAAGTCATTGGTCTTGCAAAATCCTATCATTCCATCTCCAGCATCATTTCTGTCACCAAGACCATATTTTCCAACTACTGGTCCTTCTTCTTTGTTTCCAACTTTCACATTCCAATCGGCAGTAATTATCAATGCATCTTGACTGCATGTTTGATCAATTTCAGACTGCAGAAGTTGGTAAAAATCTTCAATTTCTTCATCTTTGGCCTTAGTGGTTGGTGTGTAAATTTGAATAATAGTTGTATTAACTGATCTTCCTTGTAAGCATATGTATATTATCCTATCACTAACAGTGTTGTACTTTAGGATAGATCTTGAAATATTCTTTTTCACAGTGAACACGATGCCATTCCTCTTGAAGTTGTCATTCCTGGCATAGTATACCATATGATTGTCTGATTCAAAATGGCCAATACAAGTCCAGTTCAGCTCGCTAATGCCTAGGATATCAATCTGTATGCATTCCATTTCATTTTTGATGACTTCCAATTTTCCTAGATTCATACTTTGTACATTCCACATTATAATTATTAATGGATGTTTGCAGCTGTTTTGTCTCATTTTGTGTTGTGCCACATTAGCAAATGAAGGTCCCAAAAGCTTGACTCCATTCACATCATTAAGGTCAACTCTACTTTGAGGAGGCAGCTCTTCCCCAGTCGTCTTTTGAGTGCCTTCCAACCTGAGGGGCTCATCTTTCGGCACTATATCAGACAATGTTCTCTGCTATTCATAAGGTTTTCACTGGCCAATTCTTTCAGAAGTAGATTGCTAGGTCTTTCTTCCTAGTCTCTCTTAGTTTGGAAGCTCCACTGAAAACTGTCCACCACTGGTATTTGAAATACCAATGGCAAAGCTTTCAGTATCACAGCAACACGAAGCCAGCACAGTAGAACAAACTGACAGACACGTAGTAGTGAGTGGGTTCGGGGTGGGTGTTTCTTGGTAGAGAGGGATAAAGTTTGAAGCCACATGGAGAAAGAGGAGAAGGGAAGATAGGGAGATGCAGGGAGACCAAGTAGGGCTGCTGAGACAGGGCAACTGTTCACGTGGTAGGCTTGACATAAGTTCAGTATATGCATTTTCCCTAAGGTGGTAGATTGACTTTCCAAATTACAGGGAGCTCAGCGTCAAACAATCTCAATTCATACCTCAGCTCTACCACTTTTTAACTGTGAAACCTGAGAAAGTGACATTACTTCCCTAACGTTCAGTTTCTTCAGCTATAAAATGGTGGTGATAATAATAACCATGTGAAGGGATTGTTGTGAAAAGTAAATAAAATAATGTATATATTAGTCACTTGGTACAATGCCTGGAACATAGTATCCCTCACTAACTGTTAGCTAGTATTCATATTTTTATTATTAATAAGTTGCTTTCTGTCTGTATTGAAGACCAAGAATGGAAGATTAGGGTGAGAGAAGGTCTTCTCTTCCAATATCTAAATTGAGGGAAAAAAAAAAAAAAGCTATAAAGGTAGAAAGTTCTCTTGAGGACAATGAAGGCTCCAGGTCTGAGCATCTATTCTACAGACATTAAAAATGTGAGGGGTTTCTCAACCCAGTTAATCCTATTAGTAGACAAGATAGCATAGCTGAAGATGAGCCTTACCTCAGTTCGGTGCACAAGCTGCTGAGTTGCATCATCATTCATGCGGAAAATTTCCAGAAATGGGTCAGATTTACTGAAGAAATCCTAAAATAGATAAACAGCAATGAGTTATTTATTTTTGTTGTTTTTTTCTTTTCTGCTGCATCTGATCCAGCCCTGATCAATATGTGGAGTGAAGGCCGTGCTTGCCATCTCTCCCTGCATGCCTGCCCCAATTATACCCTAAGTGTCTTCCCCTTGCCCTAGGATGATACACACCACCTTTCCTGGCTTTGCTCTTCAGTCTTGATAGCTACCCTTGGCTAAAATGAGCTATATCTAAGCTCCAAGTCCTTGGAAAAGTAGGTGCTTAGCTGGTTAGAATCCAAAATATTCTTCAAAGATCAATTCAAATGCCAGCTCTTTGAGAAGCAATGTATCTGTTGTCTTAAACATACTAATTACAGTTATTGTAAAACCTATGCCTGATGTCTACAATATCTAAATCACTTATGGGTCTGTTTCTATTATCTGTTTCTTGGTTCTACCTCTTGGTATGCTTGTTAATTTTTTTATTAAACACCAGATACTGTGTAAAAAAGAACATAAAGGTTTTAGATGACTCTTTGTCTTCCGGCAAGTAGTTACAATGGAGATAATGACCTGAATTCAATCAGGACTGAGCTATTTAAAGATTGGGTTTTTTTTCATGAGTCTTTGAAAAGCCCACATTTACTCCTTGGGTAGAGTCCCTAAAGGGCTCCAACTGAAAGCTTCAGTATTTATAGGGCTGCTTCTTCTTTAAAGCCCTCAATGACAATTTTTATTGGGATTTTCAAAGTCTCTGTTTTTCTCCATAATCTCTTGGCTGTAGCTTTTTGTTCAGTTTCCCTCTATGCTGCTTTTTGTCAGTTAGTGAATGCCTTGTGAGGATAAACCACTCAGACTTTTGGACTCACTTCCCTCCTCTGAAGCATCTTGCAATTTTTAGCCCTGTCTCTCTTAGTAGCCCTGGACTCTAGTTTTGCCTCCCTAGTCCCATGAGCCCACCAAAAGTTCTGCCCACATCTTAGTACCTATTTTCTGCCAGGATTCTCAGCTTATCTCTCTATGCTGTTTTAGGAATTGGCCTTGAGGAATGGCCTTGAATAGAAAATCCGTGTCAAATGTCTGAATCATCTCAGTGGATTTCTCTTCTTTCTAGCTATTGGTCCCTCACATCTTGGCTAGGTTGGGCCTTTCAAGCAAATGTCTCTTGCATTTTATCTAGTTTTGATAGTTGTTTTCAGTGGGAGAATGATATGAAACAAGTAAATCCTGCATTACTGGAAGCGGAACCTATCCACATCCTTGTTTATAACTTGTTTTTTATACCACTAGATTATAAACCCTTTGAGAACAGGAACTATGTCTTATTTTGCTTTATATTTCTACTATTTCCATATTTTTGAACTTTTTTACTGCATAGTGTTTATTGAATGAATTAATGAATAAATGAGTTAATGAGTGAATGATATGAATAGTTGATGTAGGATAGGAGGCTATCTGAACAATAGCCTTAGCAATCACACTCTTAATATGTATTTCACTGGGTGATATTTTTCAGAAATCTAGTTGCAGCAAGGCAAAATTAAGCCTATCTTCACCTTAAAAAAATATCTGTTATCCTCAAACATTAGCAAGCCCAGAATCAAACTCATCATTTTCCTTTGTGCATTGTTTGGCCCTTACTATCAATGTCCTACCAGCCACCCTAGTCCTCAGCTCAACAAAGTATTTGCAAGGACTGTTCTGGTCATAGAGCCCTTGTGCTTGACATTAAGATAAAAGAGGGGAAGAGCCTGGTCTCAGCCCTCCAAAGCATCATTTATTTTTGTGGTAAGACAAAGCACACAAATAAACATAACCTAAGGCTAAGTAAAAATCAATAGGTAAATAAATTTACAAGGAGTCTTAAGAGTGAAGTTAGAGTTGGACTAGGGAGGATATTCCTAGGGAGGGAACAGTGTCTGTGAAGGTGTGGAAGAGTAAACATAGACAGGTGCATATCAACTAGCTTGAGCTGCCTGTGGGAGTCCCTGGGCGGTGCAAACCATTAACATGCTCAGCTTCTAACGGAAAGTTTGGCAGTTGAGTACACCCAGATGTACTTTGGAAGAAAGGTCCGGTTCTCTACTTCTGAAAGATCAGTCATGGAAAACCCTATGGAGCACAGTTCTACTCTAACACACAGGGAGTTGCCATGAATTGGAATCAGCTCGACAGCAATGGGTTGGTTGGTTCCCTCTCAGACACATTTCTAGCTAATTTCCACCTCTATGTATTTGTTCAAGACATTCCGTCCTCAGGCCTATTTCTGTCTTAACCATCATCCTATAAAATATGGAGCATAGCCATTTTTAGGACAGTGAAACTATTCTGTACAATTTTACATGATTATATATTTGTTAAAACCCATAGGATTATACAACTCAAAGAGTGAATCCTACTGTAAACTATGGACTTTAGTTATAATAATGTATCAATATTGGTTTATCAGTTGTAACAAATGTGCCACGGGAATGCAAGATGTAAATAATAAAGGGAAACTGTGTGCAGTGGGGGAAGGAGTAAATGGGAACTCTCTGTACTTTGTGCACAATTTTTCTGTAAACTTAAAACTGCTCTAAAAAATAAAGTCTCTTAAACAAAATTGGAATCTCTCTCTCCCCTCCCTTCTCTGATGAATGGGGACACATTAGTTTGTTCCTATGTGCCCTTGGGCTCCTTCTCTGGGACTTCATGCCTTGTCTCCTTAAATAGATTGTTGGTCCCTCAGGGAACTTGTGTATGAACTGTACTTAAAAATTGCTGACCACAGTGGAGGAACCATCTGTAATTTTTCTTTTTCCTTCTTATTGATAATATATTTTTGCTGTCATCCAGGTATTCCATTTTTGCTTAAAATAGAAAATATACAAAAATAAAAAGAGTAAAAAAAAAAGAAGATGGAAAAACAGCCCACAATCCCATGCATAATTCCACAACCATTAATACCACTTTGGTAAGTCTCTTTCTAGAATCTAGACATACTTTTCTTTTCTTTTTTAAAATATATTTGTAATCATACTCTATATACACTTTAGTACCCTATTTCTCCCATTTGGTAGTATATTGCAATGCTTTTTATATTTCGTTTCATATTCTTTTAAAATACTATTTACTGTGGGCACAGAGTTGTGTGGAGGACATACTATAAATTAGGGGCTGAGGTGGACATAAGGAGTCTCTGGGCAGTGCAAATGGTTAATACTGCTAACCAAAAGGCTAGAGGTTTGAATCTACCCAGAGGTACCTCAGAAGAAAGGCCTGGTGATCTACTTCCAAAAAATCAGCCATTGAAAACCCAATGGAGCACAGTTCAACTCTGACAAACATGGGGTCACCATGAGTTGGAATTAACTCAACGGCAGTTGGTATGTGTGTGGAGGAGGGGGGACATAAAGAAAGATCAGGTATAGTCTTTGCCTTCAAGTAACTGAAAATCTAACATGTAGCATGCTGGCTTTTGGACTGTTTTCAAATCCTGACTCCTCCACATGTAATCTGGATGATCTTGGGCAAGATATTCAATTTCTCAAAGTCTCAGTTTCCTCATCTGTAAGTGGAGAAAGTACTACTTCTTGCCTCACAGCAGTGGGGGAGGATTAAAGAAGCTGGTACATGTGAAGGGTTGAGTCCAGTGCCTGGCACATGTAAGCACTCAAAATCTGTTGGCTGTTACGATCACTATCAATAGAAGAGGGAATGCATGAGGGCACTGTGTAAAGCACTATGCAAATGTCAGGGATTATTGCTATTAAGAAAGTATCTGAAGTAAAACACTCATAAGCAGCTCACAGATATTTTAAGTTTGTAGTTAGAATTCATAGCTTAAAAACCACAACTCTGGGTTTAATTTTGGTCACTTGAGTGCATCTAAAATTTTTGGCTTTCTTTGCTTGACTATCAGCATTAAGATGACCCTTGGGTTCTCAAAAAACTAAAAATAGAACTGCCATATGACCCAGCAATTCCACTCCTAGGTATGTACCCAAAATATCTGCAAGCAGAGACTCAAACAGAAACTTGTAAACCAATGTTCATTGCAGCACTATTCATAATAGCCAGAAGTCAGAAACAAGCTAAATGCCAATCAATAGATGAATGGATAAACAAAATGTGATACATACATACAATGGAGTACTACTCAGCCAGTAGAAGAAACAAAGTCTTGATACATGCTACAATATGGATGGAGCTTGAAGACATTATGCTGAGTGAAATAAGTCTATCACAGAAGGACAAATATAGCACAACCTCACTTATATAAAAAGATAAGAAAAGGCAAACATATAGAGACCAAAGTTTATTAGTCTCAAAATCATGGACTCCAGACTTTCTGGATATAAGGGGGCTGGATGAACCCCTGAAACTATTGCCCCAAGATAATCTTTAAAACTTAAACCAAAAATGTGCCCTGAAGTCTTCTTAAAATCAAACAACAGTTTAGCTTAACTAGTAAAAAAAAATGTCTGCCTTGAGAATTATGCTCTTGTAAGAACTATCTATAACTATCAAAGTGACAACAGCAACTCAAAAGATTAGATAGGAAGCTTAGGGGCAGTGAGTTTATGTTAATGGTGGAGGAACAACTCAGAAGAGGAGGATGAGAATAGTTGCACAACTCAAAGAATGTAATCAGTGTCACTGAATTGTACATGTAGAAATGGTTGAACTGGTATATGTTTTGCTCTGTATATTCTCAACAACAACAACAAAGATGGCCCTTGCGGAAGTTCAGTGCAATGTAGATGTAATGAATTAGGCATCTTAGTTAAATTTTACTATGGTGAAATTCTTTAATAATTTGGAGGCCATGTTACCCTGCCCTTTAGTTCCAATATGAAAGAAATTTAGTTAAGTGAGATGGTGATAAGCAATCAGCTGAGGTTTGGAATAGAAAAGAAAGCAGCATTCCAGAGGCCAGCTCTTCAGACAAAGATTAGACTGGACTATGGGACATAAAATGATAATTCTTGAAGAGTGTGCTTCTTAGCTCAAGTAGATACATGAGACTAAATGGG